ACTCTGATTTTTCTCCATGTTCCTCAAAATAAAATATAAAGAACTATAAATAAAACATAATTCAAATAATACAAAATAAATAAAACATAAAGAATTGTAAATAAAGCATAATTCAAAATTAAAAAATAGTATTAATTTAAAAATTAAATTCATATAGAGATATTTTCTCATATCCCTTTATAGTAATCACTTCGTGTGGCATGTTCATCATCTATCTCATCTACATTTAAATTGGGTAGTCTTGATGAGAAGGTAAGAGTTTCCTAGATATTGAAGCCTGTTTGATTCTTATCATTACTATCAATTGCCCTTTTTCCTTCAAGAGTTATTAACCAACTTTTATCTACTAGATTAGTAACATAGAAAACTTGTTTCGCTTGGTCTGTCATAATAAATGGCTTTTCCTCAAAAGTTAGTCTTCTAAGATCAACCAATATAAATCCTAGCTTATCATCTTACACGCCATTGATGTCAACTTACTTGTATTTGAAAACAGGCACTCTAAATGTTATATAGTTAACCTCCCAAATCTCTTCAATAATCCCAAAATAAGGCATGGATGTCATTTTTGGATTCTTATCTTTCTTACTTGAGAAGTGCACAACTTCAGCCACTATTATAACTCCACTATTTTGCACAGTACTCTTCTCATCAAGAGACTTATATAAAAGGAATACCCATTAATATTGCATGCACTCTATCATATCATATCCATATTAGGACCCTCTGCTAACCATTTAATTATATCAAAAATATTATCTTTATTTAAGACTTATTTAAACCAATCTACAAAAGTCATATTGTACTCTTTCAATAACCTTTATTTAGTCATTCCCAGCCAATTGCATTCTATCTTTAGAAGTTCTCTATGGGTATCTATGTAACTTCAAACTTCATCAATATTATTCAAGATATATAAATGTACTTCTTGCACTTCATCACGATTCATGCTCTTTATTGATACCTCACATGTGTCTTGACCTAATGGCCTCCTCTCCTGACGAGATTTAGGAAGCTCAATTGGTTCTGTATTAGACAAATAATCAAAACAAAACTCCATAGCTTCTTTAGTAACATATTTTTAAACAATAGATGCTTTAAGGCGATAAGGATTCTTCACATACCCTTTCAATATTTTCACGTATCTCTCAACCAGGTATATCCATCGTAACTAAATAGGGCCACACATTTTAACCTCCCTCACTAAACAAACTGTGTATCATAATGTCAAAAAATGAAGGAGGAAAGTGCATCTCAAGTTGACATAACATAATACAAGCTTCTTGTTCTAACTCATCTAATTTGAGGAGATTAATAACTTTACTGCATACTGCATTAAAGAAAAAGAAAAGTCTAGTTATTGTATCCCTCAAATATTCTTTTAATATATGTTGAATGACCACTGAAAATAATTATTGCATCAAGACATGATAATCATGAGACTTTGAGCCAATCAGTTTCAACCCCTTCATTGACATAAACTTATTAATATTTGAAGAATACCTTAACGGCACTTTGATCCCATGTAAATACTCATAAAACTTGTTTTCTCCACCTTGGACAATGTATGAGAAGCCAAGGCATAGTAAGTACTCTTACCTTCTAATCTTGGGTGTAAGTCCTCTCATTCTCATTTCTTTTAAATATAATCTTGCATTCACACCATCCTTTATCTAGCCTAGCATGTTCAGAAGTGTTTTAATAATACTATCACACACATTTTTTCCACATATATAATATAAATACAATGCCTCACTTTAAGAAAGTGTCAATATGGAAGATCAAAGAAGATAGACCTTTTTTTTCATATATTTTTGGCACTTGTATTCTTTTGAGTCTTACCAAGAATTATATTGATGTCTTTCATTTGTTCATAAATTTGCTCCCCAATCAAAGCATTTAGAGCATGAAGGTGCTCTTGGCAACAATGAAAAGCTTTCTTTAATTTATGATAAGGGTGATCCCGTCTAAGAAATCTATGATGGCCAAGGTAGACTATCTTTTTTCATATTAAAGTTGATGGAAGTATGTTCCTTCTTCACAAATTGGACATACCTTGTGGCCCTTGACATTGTACCGAGACAAATTTTCATATATAGGAAAGTCATTTATTGTGCAAAAGATCATAGCATGTAACTTGAAATTCTCTTTTCAATTAGCATCAAATACATCCATACCTACTTCTCACAACTCTTTCAAGTCTTCAATCAAAGGTCTTAAGTAAGTATCAATGTCATTTTCAGGTTGTTTTGGTCCTAAAAATAACATGGATGGCATCATATACTTTCGTTTCATGCATAGCCAAGGTGATAAGTTATAAATCACCAAAGCACAAGCCATAAGCTATGTATACTGTTAAGGCTACCATAAGGATTCATTCTATCAGTAAAATGTCTAAGCCTCATATTCCTTGGTTCATTGCCAAAATTAGAAAATAATTGATTAATTTTCTTCCATTGAGGAAAATTGGCTGGATATCAAAATTTTCCATCAATAATCCTCTCATCTACAAGTCACCTCAAGTTCTTCGCATCATTAATATTTGCAAACAAACGCTTAACCCTCAAGTTCACTTTCAATAGCAGGTGCAAGCCACCCGCTGTTGAAAGTTTCAATTTTTTTTTTAAATTTCAACTTTCAACAGCTGGTGTCTCTTATCCGCTGTTGAAAATGGCAATTTTTCATTTTTTTTAATTCTCACTTTCAACAGCAGTGACATGTCACCCATTGTTGAAAGTCTTATATTAGCCTTTAATATTATAAAAATATCACCGCCTTTACTTTCAACAATGGGTGCATTTTAACCAATGTTAAAAGTCCCTTGTAAAATACAAATTTTGCACTACTGAGATTTTGTGGGGCTCCTAATTATTTGTAAGAATCATCTTTGATTTTTTTTTTGTTTCCCTATCTTCTTTTGAATGAATAGGTTTCTTTAGCTGGCACATTCAGCATGTGATGACATCATAACTGGTGTAGACATGTGCATATCTACACCGATTATGTAACCGGTGTAAAAATCAAAAGACTTTTTACACTGATCTTATCTATACCGGTTGGAAAATTGATTTAGATAGCCAATTTTAATTGATATAGATATCTTTTTTTGTATTGGTGGAAATATCACAGTTTATTCTTCACACGCCAACACTAATAACGTGCTTCATCCGCGGATGGAGCTATCTAAAAAATTTGATAGAATATTGTGACACAAATTAAAATTAAGAACTTTAGGTCATTCAAGTTAGCAGGGGCATTTTAAATATATATATATATATATATATATATATAACATATAACATATATAATATATAGTATATTTAACCTTTATATTTTATTTTATTTTTTAAAATAATTTTATAACTTATAAAAATCATTAAATGAAAAAATTGTTTGATATTATATAACCATTTAAAATTCATATATTTAATTTTATAATTTTTAAAAATCCTTTAATATAAATTGCCATTTTTTAAAAAGAAAAGATATTAAAGGATTTAGCTAAAATTTATTTTAATAGATAATAAAAACAATTATAAAAAACTTAAAAAATGACATGACCCTGTTATATAATATCCTAGCAAATAAATATCATCATATATCAATATAACAATATCACTTCTTACAATAAGCTTTTAATTTGCTGGCTCTTCAGCAACAATATCTTCATCGAATAAATTATACTCCCTCTTTTCAAAAATATAAGGTATTTTTTGAGGAGTTGAATGTTTAAAAATATAAGGTATTTTTAAACTTTTGAAGTATAATCATTGCTCTTTTTTAAAAAGTACTCTTATTGATGAATGACTTTATATTTATTATAGGGTGTTTAATAGGGGTAAATGTAGGAAGATAAGGTTAGTTATAAAGTAGATAACTAACATTATTGAAGGTAAGATTCAATTAAAAATGTCTTAAATTTTTAAAGGGATGGAGTACTTTTTAGACTCACTAATTCCTTCAATCTTCCCACATGCCTCTCTCCATACAAATCAATTTTGGCGCTTTCTTTCATCATGGATTTCTCGAAATTATCCAGCAATAACGGAGTTCCGCCAATGAACGTTATCTTTATCACTTTAAAAATATAAATACATTAATAAATTGACATTTAATTTTTTAGATGATTAATATACATATGGTGCAAAGAAAATTATTAAAAATTAATGACATTAGAATTATGGAAGCAAATAATCTAAAATTGAGATCCATGAATTTTTGTTGTTTAATTTCTTATTTTATTATTTTCTATAAAATATAATTTTCTCTCCCTTTCTTAAAACAACAAATTTCATGAAATTCACGAGTTATCAACTTCATAGGATCCATTCCTTAAGAAAATACATATATTTGGATGTGTTTGGTAATGCAACAGGACTTTATATTACAAAGATTTAAAATTATTAATCTAAAAATTCATGGCAGAGGAGTGATCAATTTCGACTTGGATTATAACAGAAATAAACAGGTTCAATACTATATTAAATTTATAAATCATTTATATATTTTTTTATTTGGTCTAATTTTATTGGTTGTGAAACTTCTCTATTCTATCTAAATCAAGTTTGGTGTTTTATAAATGTTACGATATGTTAAGATTTATTCTTCAAATCAAGCAATACAAACTCTTACAAACATGCATCTTAAGTTGGAGGGGAAATGTTAGGGTATATTATATATGGAGATTTATGTTGTGTTGAGGCTTATCATATATTAGTATTTATTCTATTGAGATTTAAGAAATATTATATATTCATTAGATATTATGAGGATATTCATAAAATGATCTACATATATTATCAACTCTAATTATACATGCACACGCATAGCGTGCATTACAATATGTGAAACATTATTATGAAACACATAATTGAAGCATCGATCACATTCGACCTGGTACGAACTTAGTTATTTCACTTCAATACACACATGCATGTACACACACAGAGGGGGGGGGGAAGAGAGAGAGAGAGGATATACACAATAATTATAAATTGTAGCTAGGCATTATTATGTTGGTCTGAAACTGAAACTTCATTTCTAGATGTTTCAACAGAATGATGTTCTCCAGACGATGATGAAGATGAGAAGCCTGGTAAGCTGTTCCAACTATAAAAGGAAGGCTGGAGAGGAGTGGGCAGTGAGAGTGAATAGCTACTCAGCATTGCTACAATGGAATCCATTGTGGGCCTGTCGCTTGCTTTTTCTTGAACACATAGTAACCCTACATGGATGCATCTTATTATTTCACTTCTTGATGATTCACCTTCCTCCATCAATAGTGGATCTATAATACTTGATAATTTCCCTTCTCTCCACTTTTTCCAAGCCTACAAGGTTTTTTTTTTAAATTGTCAAATATTTTAATTGGGGATTTTTTAATTTTCTGGGTTAAAAAAAATCATACAATATGTATAATTATGGTTATTAAAAAATGTTTATGAATAGAGGGCACTTACAGCAATTCCTATATGCTCTGGATTCTCCCAATCTTCAAATTTACCATTTTTCTTCCCACTAATAATTTCCAAAACCAATACTCCAAAACTGAACACATCTGACTTCATTGAAAAAGTTCCATGTTTTAGATATTCTGGTGACATATATCCACTGCATGTCAACATAGTAAATCCAATGTTAGCATATCAATCAAATCACAAACTCTAATTGCATATTTAACATACAGAAAAGTATTTTCTAGAAAGAAAATGTTCTAACAATATTTCCGGACTCTAATACAACTTACTAGGTACCAACAACTGTATTAGTCTTGCCATGGGTTTGATCCATTAAAAATAATCTTGCCATGCCAAAATCTGATATTTTAGCATTCATTTCTTCATCTAAAAGTATATTGCTTGCTTTGAGATCACGATGAACAATCCGAACTCGAGAATCTTGATGAAGGTAAAGCAAACCTCGTGCAATACTTTCTATTATTTTGTAACGATTTTCCCATTTCAACAATGTTGCCTTTTGTGGATCTGCATGGATACAAATACATGATATATGCAACAATTTGTTGAACTAGATATCGAGTATACTAGCTACTACCAGTCTGTCAAACTATAAAACTTTTAACATGAAAGGAAAAATCTGATGGATATCTAGCTTCCATTAAAAAACAAATGAAATAGATCAAATCAGTTAGCTTTTCATCCATATATTTTTATGATTGACTTGATCTACTAATGTTTTGTAGATTCGATATCCATTAGAAAAGTATCTAACACACACACACACACAAAAACAAAGACACTAATGTTAACATACCAAAGATGAAGTAATCAAGGCTCTTGTTTGGAACAAACTCATAAACAAGCAGCCTATTTTGGAGACAAAAACCAAGTAGCCTGACTAAATTCCGATGTTGCACTTTGGCCATTAACAATACTTCATTCTTAAACTCCACATCACCTTGCCCAGAATCTCTACTCAACCTTTTTACAGCAATTTCTTGTCCATTATATAACGTGCCCTGAAATATAAGTATACAAAAAATTGAATCTAAAGTTTGATATATATGTATATATATATATATATATATAAAAAATAAATTTAAGATTCCAGGTATTTTTGAACCTATAGTTTAAGGGTAAAATTATCATTTTAGCCTTTTAAATATCTTACCAAGTAAACAGGTCCAAATCCACCTTGTCCAAGCTTATTTGCTTCAGAAAAATCATTTGTTGCGATTCTAATGGTTTCAAAGTCCATTTGCAATGAGTCAGCGACATCCTTAGCTTCACCTACACATGCAATATGGGAGTAAACAAATACGTGAATCACAAAAGAACATTTTTTAACTAAAAGCACTGAAATCATTTTTCGATCTTGAAATTGTATTAAAGCTGTTGTTTAGGGGCAAGAGCAAGAAGATAAATTTCCATTTTTTAATAGCAATAATTAAGTTGACTTACTTTCAATATTCTTTGGCCTCCTTAATTTTAAAGAAATTAAGACGATAATAAGGATGAGCGCTTCGATGCAGGCAACGAGGACAACAACGGCGATAACAATTCGTGAGGTGCTGCACTTTCCTGGACCAAAGAAAATATTTATATGACAAGTTGATCGAAAATAATATATGGGATATATATCACACGACGAATAACGTTTAATTCATGAAATGTCTCTAACTATAAACTTGCGGGGAAACTTCACCTATTGAAAACTCCGGTAAAATTACTCGAGCACAGTTCGGTAAATAATAATTTTAATCTGGAAAATGTCTCTAAACCTGTTTATATTATACATCCCAAGTAAGGAAAATAGACTTTTCTTTTTCCAAAATGCGACGACTTACATATTGACCAGTTTAAACAACTACATATGTGTGATTCGATTTATTCTTCTAAAACTACACTTCAGCTCAGCAACTTTGGGACTAAGTCACCAAAATTTTTTGGATATAAAAAGAATTAAGATATTTCTATTTCTTATGTTAACAAAGAATAAGAGAAAGAATATTGAATAAACATATTTTTTTGTATATCTTTAATTGAATGCACGCATCCTTTTCTGAGACAAACACCAACCCTAATAAACTTTGGGACTAAATCACCTAAATTTTTTGGATATAAAAAATAATTAAGATATTTCTATCTCTTATGTTCACAAAAATAAGAGTGCACAAAAATAAGAGGGAGAATATTAAATAATCATATTCTTTTGTATATCTTTAATTGAACGCAAGCATGACTTATATACGACCATTAATTAGTGTGTGTAGATTAAATTTTATCATTATGTGGATTGGCATAAATTAATTAATTAATGAAAATATTTAATCATATTTTAAGTAATTACCCTTGTTTTAATATTAAGTCTAAAACATATCGAGTCTTGTTTTTATGTGTGTTTCTCCCTAGACGGCTTGATTTGCGCACAAGTCCAATTGAGTAGGGGCTCCACATACAGCTTCCTTAATACTCTCTCCATCTCAAATTATAAAACATTTTTAGATAAAATCTCACATATCAATAGATCTCATTAAATATACTTAACAACCTTATATTTTCAAAATAAAAATATAAACGTTCACAAAAACCCATCATTTAATATATTGAAAAGAGTAGGGATAAAAATAATTGTAAAGAGAGAACGAATAATATTAGAATTAATATATTTAATGAAACCTTAACCTATTCAAAGTGTTTTATATTTGAACATGAAAAAACTGCTTAAAAAATGTCATGTAATTTGGGACAAAGAGAGTAGTTGTCATTGCGCAGCTGCCTATCACGATCTAACTATTTTAGGGATTAGGGAGATATAATTATAATAATATATATTACTGCAAGGGACATATACATATATGAAAACCGGGTGGTTGAACTCAAGGAGTCTTAATTTCTCTCTCTGGCAGCTTTCTCCCACTATTCTTCCCCATTCACCAAATAATAATAATAATAATAATAATAAGTTAAAGGGTAACATAGACTGAAAAATGTATAATTTTTTGCTTTGTTAGATCTTAGATCAACAGAGCAGTATATGAGATTTCCTCACGCACGTATGCAATTTATAATTATATTCTTTTAAACAAGCATTTATATTTCCAATTAACATATCTATTCTATATATATATATATACCTTGCTTGGACGCGGGATGAGCCAATGGGGCAGCCGTAGGAGGTAGTGACGTGGGCCTGGGGGATGGCAACGGTGGTGCTGGCAAAGATAATTGTGGTGTAGCAGAGGGATCAAAGAAACTGTACGATTCATATCTAATGTTGCAACTTGGTGTTAACACTCTACCACCTTTGTGTCCACCACAACATTTAGGAAGATCATTAGTGATTGCCCCATTCAAGCAAACGTTGCAATCGTTTTCCGACAAGTCCGGCGTGCACTGTGCCAGACCATATATCGTTTCATTGCTCGGACCGGTCGCATTCGCCACCGCAAACTTACGAACCGAGTTTCCAGAAGCAGCCTTTTCTCTCAAAGCATTCATCATCTGCGTCACCACGATCTTGAACTGGTCTTTCTCCGGCGCATCCTCGGTGTTCCACAAATAGTGATGTGGCAACGTTTCCATGACGCCGAATATGGTTCGATTGGAGTATCTCAGCATGCAGTTGTCGTACCAGCCGATCGCCTCATTCATGTTCGGGCACACTTGAGGAAGAACAGCTCTTGAATCTGTGATACAGCTCCGACAATCTTGTACAGAAACATCTCCCCGGCATAACACGAGGGCGTTAACTTTGTCGGAGTTTTCGCCGGAGGAGAAGTTGTAGAAGCCATAGTCGATTTGCGTGTTGAGAGACATGTTTAACAAAAGGCCTTTGAGGTTGATCTGGTAGGTACTATTGCTTTCAGTGGAGTCGTTACCGCAGTAGAATTTTAAGAAGCTTGGCTGTGCATTAGTTGTGCCATGATGAAATGTTAAGGCTATGTTGAGGAGAAGGAAGAGAAAGGAAATCAACCTTAAAGAAACCCTCGCCATATCGTACAAGTAAATTTTCTGAGGTTAGCGTGTGGCTCGCTTGGTAAAGTTTATGTGCTATGATCTTTCTAATTTATACGATGTCTTGAGTCTCCTAACGTTGCAATTCGTGCATGTACTGTTTTAATTCAGCATTTGACCAGTTCAAAACACATCGATTGATGGCACTCCTAGACATTAATTTCAAACACGCACTCAGCAAGCTTAATCTGTTAAATCAATTTCGTGTTTGGTCAGGTAATCAATTGTAATCAATTTCGTGTTATTATGACAGAAACTTAATTACATTCTTAAAATTATTATAAATATATATAACTTTGTAATTTGGCCCTTCTTTACAATTAATTAATAACTATAGTACTCACATATGGTCTAATTTTGTAATTTCGTGTTATTATGACAGTAAAGATGGGAGTAACTTGTTTAGGAATTCAGACCACAGTAAATACACATGTGATAAAATTTAAAAAAAATTAATTATCCTGAATTTATTTAATATTTCATTTAATCTTTATTATAAGACATTTTCAACTATTTCATGCATATTAAGAAAAATTAATTTTTTTATGTCATAAAAAAATTATTTATACTTTTATTTTTACCCTTAATGTTAGATAATGATATAACTACATTAACTATTTTCATGCTAATTAAGAAAAAATAAAATAAAATAAAGTAGTTTAATTATTATAAAGTGTCATATATTTTAGATTAAAAATTACTTTTAAAAGATGCCTTATAAATAAGATTGGAGGGAGTATATATCTAGGATAAAAGAAGCTTTCAAAAATTTACCTTCCATTAAGAGTAGGAAAGAGTACGTTATTAAAAACTTCTCCATACGAATATTCCACGGTTGACTTTCATTAGTTGCTTTTTGTAAAAAGGATGAGGTTTATACTCCCTTTTTCCCTATTATTAAAAACTTCTCCATACAAATAATCACCTCACCAAGGAATAAGGAGGTTTGAATAAGTTACTAACTTTATTTAAAAATAAAATAAATTTTAAATTTTACTTTAGTTTGAATGAAAGTTTTTTAAATTTTCATTACATTCTCTCTTATATTTAATGAGTTCAAATATAGGTAATACTAGAAAAACATAATAAATATTCTATCAAATGTTTTATATTAAAGATAAATAATTATTCTAGAAAGTATCTTATAATAGAGATAGGAATTAATAATTTCCTGCATGATGTAAGAGAATGACAAGAGCATGGATGGTGTCATAATATTTTATAAAATATTCAAAAATAAAAATGACCTAAACCCTTAAATTGAGGGCCTGTTTGATCGTGTTCCCATGTTCTTGTTTCGTAATAAAGATTTTATAATTGTTTTATAAAATAAAAATCTATTTGATTATATTAATTGATTCAATTTATTCGATAACTATTTTATTTAAATGAAGTTTCGAGTTTGAGTTTTGTGTGTTATAAGAAAATTGTATCTAAAAAATGTACAACCATATGGTCTAAGACAACTTAATCTAAAATGCGTGGTCGAAAATGAGTTGGTATTTATAGAGGATTACAAAAATAAATAACAATTGGAGTTATCTTTTTCGTGAAAAAAAAATAACAATAGAGTTTAATCTTTTTTAATTGAAGACATGAAGTCATGAATTTAACCGTCTCTAATATGTTCATATCTTGCGTGGAATATTAAAAAGAGGGTTTCACTCAATCTTCTATATATTAAATGCTTTGCAATTGCCATATGAAGAAGACGTTGAAGAGCCTTCCTCAAGTTTGACTTGGACTAATATTGTACGTTAATTCTTCATTGAAGCAGTTTGTTTCAAATTTGAATGCCTATCTGCTGCTTCATTTTCCACATTCCATATTCATTTTCCAAATCACAAATTTGACAAGTCCACCAATTACCAAATCCCTCTATTCTGTTCATTGTATTATTTTTCTACACACGTACGGTTCATTGGACATGCAAGTTTGGATGGGGAGGAAATTAGGGAAGAAAAAAATTAGGAGAGAAAGCTGTTAAAAATAGTACAAATTTTTATCATTTTTGGTAGTTTTCCTTTGTAATTTTCCTTCCCTTCTATTTTCCGTCCATTCAAACCAAGCATGCATTAAGGTCTCCCTCTAACTAAAGCAAACCTTGGAGAGAAAAGGTCCGACCAACGAAAAATTCCTACTTGATCCTATTCAGTGAAAATAATCATTGAGATTTGAAAAATACGGGGCATCTTCTCTAAAAGCCGTGTTAGGTCTAAATTAATATATAAGTGGTCTTTATAATTATTTTTCTAACTATACCCCTATTTCATTTGTTACTTTTTTTAAAAAAAATATACATTAGAATTATAATTGTTATTATTAAATTACTTATATAGTACATTAAATGAGAATATAATTAAAAAGACATTTAAAAATATCATGCATAAAAGCTTGCATTTTTCATCTCGACTAAGGTGGGTCTCTTGACCAAGTATAATACTCCCTCTAGTCTAAATGTAATGTCTCAAAATTTAATTCAAGAGTTAAATTAATTAATTGAGAAGTTTAGTTAGCTAATTGTGGTCATTAAAAATTAATTAGCAAGTTTACCATTTGAGTCTATTAAACCCTTTATGGAGTTTGGTTTAGGGAGTGAAAGGTTATTAGGCCACTTAGAGTCCAAATTATTAGGCTTTAGTGATGCTACCTATTTTGAACCACCCTTCATGGCAAACATGATAGGATTTTAAATCCCGATTCTACTTTTGAAAATGCAAAAAAGAGGAGAGTTTGAAAGACAGTTTGGTTGGAGACAATAGAGATTGTGTTAGAATTTCATTTTGGCATTTATTTGGAGTTTTTTTTTTTTTTTTTGGCCTTCCAATCACTTGGATACGCTTCCATTGTCTCTTCCACTACAAAAAACAATGGATTTTCTATCACTAATCAATACAAATTCCATTACTAAACGGTTAGCGATGGAATAAGTTTGTCAATACAAACACTGTCACTAATTTTTTAACGACAGAATTTAAAATTGTCATTAATTAGTGACAAAAAATTTTTATAACTAAATAAGGATAAGTTATTCTAATTCTATGACGGAATGCATTCTATCGATAATCTATTGCAAATGAAAGTTTCATAAAAAATCACCATTACCACATCACTCAGTAGGCTAGTACCACCGTGTTGCCATGTCACTGGCACCTCCTTGCCATATCATGTCCACATCATATAATAACTTTAAATGTGCCTTAGCCAAATTCAAATTCATAATCTCACACCTTCATAATGCTTTTGCATCCAACCTTTTTGTCAATTGAACTAAAAGAGATTTTTAATTTTTAATCTTTAATTGGTAAATATATGTGTGTGTGTAAATATATAAAATCAGGATGCCAAAGCACACGTGTCAACGTGTAACATCCCAATTTAAATTTTAATAATTAATTTGAGTTAATAAAAATTTTAAAAATATTTAGAGGTAAGCAAATTAGTAAAAAATGATTATTAAATCTAACTTAGGATATAATTATAAATTAAAATTTTTTTAAAAAATTAATTAATTAATTAAAAAAATATTATTAAATTATTATTATTATTAAAAAAGAGAAAAGGTATGAATAAAAAAAACAGAGAGAGAAGAGAAGAACAAGAAAACTTTCGGCGTGTGCGTGTAATCATTATATTTATATAATAATAATAAAAAAGAAAGAAGAGAGAAGAAAGATGAAAATAATAAAAAAATTGTGAGACCCACATTCATTTTTAAAAACTATCGTTCTCTTCTCATTTTTTCTTCATTTCCTTTCTCTTTTGTGTGCGAACAGAGAGAGCGTCTGTGAGCTCAACTTCGCCGATGCGGGAGATTTGAGTTTTTAAGGTAAGAGTTTTTAATAGAATATTTAGGATGTGATTTCAAGCTTTTCAAAACTAAGTAAGTAATCTAAAATTTATTTTTAGCTATCCTTCCTCTTTGGTTTCTGAGTTTGTGGTGGTAGAAAATTTAGGATTTGGAAGAGGGATGAATTTATGTTGAATAAATATAGTTTTTGAGGTTGTTAGTAGTATAATAAATATTTTAGAGTATAAATTTGTTGATGATCTTTGAATTTGTGGCTTAAGGATGAAATTCTAGACTAGATTTTTATTAAATATGAAAATATATGTTGATTTACTGAGGTTTAGATGATTATTTGGGATGAGAAATGAATTAAATATAAGGCACTTCACTCGGCCTTCGAGGTGGCATTGTCACGAGTCCCACATCGGGGAGCCTCACAAGTATTGTGGGGTTTATAAGTGTGAGAGGCTCTCCCACCCAACAGGCTAGTCTTTTGGGATGGATTCTTTCTTTGGGCTTGTGCTCGTTACATTGATGCTTTCATTGAGAGTCCGGTGTCATGGAAAGGGCTACCCACGGAGGGTTCTGACCTGCCGAAGGCCGAGTGAAGTGCCGTGGAGTGAAGCTACCGGGGACGTCGGCTCTTGACAGGGTGGCATTGTCACGAGTCTCACATCGGGGAGCCTCACAAGTATTGTGGGGTTTATAAGTGTGAGGGGATCTCCCACCCAACAGGCTAATCTTTTGGGATGGGTTCTCCCTTTGGGCTTGTGCTCGTCACATTGGTGCTTTCATTGAGAGTTCGGTGTCATGGAAAGGGCTACCCACAGAGGGTTCTGACCGGCCAAAGGCCGAGTGAAGTGTCGTAAAGTGAAGCCGCCGAGGACGTCGGCTCTTGACGGGGTGGCATTGTCACGAGTCCCACATCAGAGAGGCTCACAAGTATTATGGGGTTTATAAGTGTGAGGGGCTCTCCCACCCCACAGGCTAGTCTTTTGGGATGGGTTCTTCCTTTGGGCTTGTGCTCGTCACAGAATATCAGTGATATATATATATATATATATATAGTATAATGAATTATATTCATTATTCAATATTTTATAGCCAGACTTTGCTTTAACGTGTGGAGTTGAGTGTATATATTTAAGTAAAAGACACTTAATATCTCTCAACGAGAGCTTCAAAATTTAAACAAAAAAATAATATGTTAAAAGAGCTTGTCAAAATTCAAATTTAAATTAGTTATAATAAAAAGGCCCGGTAGGCACATGGAACATTAAATGAAACCACAAGACTACATAATTGGTGTAGAAATAATTACTTTTTAAATTGGCTGTCATCAAGAAAACGAGTTTAGTCTTTTTTTTTTTAAATATTTCGGGGCACTTTCTAAAGTAATTGTAAGCAATCGGTTTAGAAAGTAAACCCGATCTTTTTTTAAATCAATTCCAAAACCAGTTAAAAAATTATATTCACCGGGTTTAAAAAAACCTTTTTTTTTGGGGGGGGGGGGTGTACTATAGTGACCTAGTCAAGTTCAATTACGTGAATTCCAGTCAAGTTGTTTGTTTCCAACGCTAGTGCCTTCTTTAGTTTGTGTTTACGTCTCCCTTGTGAGAGTGGACAAAAGCAAGCATAACAGCAAGATCGTTGATCATTCCCGCATGCTTGAGGAGGAAAATGAAAAACCAGTTACAGATCACTCTCATATGAATCAAACGTGCAACTCAAATTAGGAATGGATTTTTCATTTTCCAAAAGATGACGATGGGCATTGAACACTTGTCAATTGTTAAAGAGTAACTTGCCGTTAACCCAGTGTCCAAGTTTAATTGTTTGAGGTAGTAATATTGGCGTACCAATTCATTCACTTCAGAGTCATTGTCACGCGCAAATTAACTAGTAAGAATGTTTGAGGTGGCGCCACGTTACAGTAAATTTTATGGGGAAAAAATATTGCATTGTGTGAGTCAAATTTTTAACCATTAAAAAGTAGGAGTATTGCATTGTGTGTGATAGATAATGCCTTATGCATGGTTTACAAAATGTAGAATATTAGGAATTATGGAAGAACTTGAATTGTGCTAGGCTAGAGATTTATATTTTGATTACATATTTTCTTAACAATTTTTTACTTTGAAAAATGACCAAAAACAACAACAAAAATACACTTGTTTAAACATATGTTTTCTGTTGTCTAAAAAATAAAAAAGTTAAGGTTATTCTAAAAAAATTAAAATAACCAAGACATCTTTTAAATGTTTTATTTTTCGTTCTGCAAAGCTAAAGAAAGCAGAAAAGACAGAAACTATCATGTTTTCATTAATAATAACTATATTAATAAAATAAATTATTCTTTTACCCTTTATTTCACCAATTTAGATACTGCTTAAAATAATGATTGATACAGATTTTTCTTATTTTTTATTTTCCAAACTTGTTTTAAGAAATCATTGTACAAAATTATTTTAAGAACATAAAAACCAACAACAGAATTAAACAAATCCTTAAACTTGTAGAGGTTCAATGCAAACTGTGTAGACATGATTAATCTCAACAATGCAACTGGAAGAGGAGAATGATAAAGAGATAAATGTTTTGCCTCTCTTTGTATGGTCTTTCTTGATCTATTTTTTCATCAGTGAATGGAAGTATTTCAGTTTGTTATTCAAAATAAAATATTAGCAGAAACCTGCACCTAATAATCGTAAAAAAAGAATAAAGAAGATGGAAATGCAATATAGGGTTGGCTCCAATAATTACAAGCCCAATATCCACAGTAGCCCATTTGAACAGGTTCGAAGATCATGGAGATCAAAATACCGCCAACGAATGTTGTACTCACTCTTTTCAATGACCAATTTGATCACGTACATATTTTAATGCGTCAGTGGGATTAGAAACAAATCTCTCTAAAATATCCTGAAGCAAACAGCAACAGAACCATGATCCGAAGCCAAAGCTATTTACTTTTTTTGTCTAGCAGATGAAACTAACTAAATTGGAAGAGACAGAACAAAGCTATTATCAAGGGTGATTCAGTTCAGGTTACTGGCATACACTCCATCTCACCTAAAAAGCTATTAAATGATTGCTCACATCTTAACCAACAGACTCAGCTCTTCAACAGCACGAATTAGCTGGTCTTTCAAAGTACGGACAAAGCTAGGACAACTTCAGACTTGGCTATAAGAGTCAAAGGTGGTCTGAGTTTCCCAGCTAATCACGCATGCTCAGTAGGTCTTGATTTCTTTCATTTTGGGCGTCTTCCCATCATGCAGCTGATGTGACTTGCTCTAAGTTCTCAGGTAATTTGGATGGGAGTGATTAAGCCAACATTCACCAACCAAAGCATAGGCAAAAAATTTTTAAATAATTTAGCAGCTCATAAAACAGCGCAGACCAATGTAGAATGTTCAATCTATCCAATCACATTTACCTTCTTGCCAAAAAAAAATTACATGTGATTTTAAACTCATTCAGTCCCCCATGATCATGAAAATATTAAATGGTATCATGAAGCTTTTCGCATATAATTCACGCAAGCCAGCCCTAAATACAGCAAGTATGGCAAGTAAGAGACTCTTCAAACAAACTACATTATAGAGAACGAAATATTCAAATATTCAAACACAAAGCAAAAAGACAACACAACCTTTGAATCCAGAGCATGGTTTGAATCCAAAAGCCCCCTTTTTTATATTATGTATAAGTAATTACACTAATTACTCTTGCGGTATCTTCTTCATTCAAGCAGTAAGATGATGCATCAAAGTGAACACAGATTGCACGAGGCCTTTATCAGTTAGAACAGCAAATGAGAATGTAATTAGAACAACTTTAATTGTTTATAATCAAACAACAACAAGCCTAATCCCGGTTGGCATTTGGCAACCAAGATTGCACGAGGCCTGTATCAGCAACTAAGTCCAAGAGGTTTCATTCAATCACTTCTATGAGCGCTCTTTTTTATTTTTCTCTACTTGTTTAGATAGCTCGAGACTATCTCTTCCACCCTTCTTAGAAGGGGCCCCAAGGATTTCAAACAATTTTCTACCATATTCTCTTCAATAGACGACACACTCACCTGTTCTCACATAAGCTCATTACTTATAATGAGTAATGAGAACTGAAACAAAATTTTAAATTTTGGGCATAGCTCATGTACATGGAATGTATAATTAATTGGAAGTAGAATTCTGATAAATAGGCAATGCAAGAGACTCTAACAGCTTCAAGTGAAGCGATCTTATATTCCCCCACTTACTGGGCACAACCTCGGCGATACCATTGATAGCAGCAACCACATTCTCAACAATCTCATCCCTCTCCATTGACACTTTGGCCACTCTCACCACACAACACGTACCTGTTCTCAAACACAACAATGTAGAAGAACACGCCTTCTCAATCTGCTCTTTCCAATTCTTATTCTTCAAATCCAATGCCACAGGAATCTTCTTCTTCCCCAGTAAGCTCGATAACTGCGGAATCACCCTCTTGTCCGCGAAAAACATATCGTATGAATCACATAGTTCTCGCTTCGCCACGGTCGAACGGTAATCGGACTTGAGCTTCGAGAGCTTCAGGACATTCGAAACGCGTATGTTCTCCGATTTGATCTTCTTCTGCGTCTCCTCCTTGTTGAGTCCTTTCTTGTGTCGGTCATCGATGATTAGACAGAGCTGGGAAAATTCGGAGAGAAGGGAATGCGGGAGAAGAATCTTATAAGTATCTGCGCGGTCCTTATGGGGGATTTTATGGAGAGAGAGAACGAGGTAGCAGAACTCGTCTTCCTGATTCAATGACTTGGACTTCTCGTCCTCGGATTTGGATTTTCTCCACCTCAGGAGAGATCTAACGGCTTGTTCCACCGTTTTGGGGCTGATCTTTCCGGAGGTTGTAGAAGGTGCTGGTGCTTGGTTCGCCACAGCCATGAGCCTCAAGGTCAAGGGTTTTTCTTCAGCAAGCATGAGCCTCGAGGGTTTAAACTTTGAAGCAGACGTTTTGGGCGTTTAGCCTTATAGGCGCTTCGAGAAGACGATAAAGTTGTCTAGTTAATATTTGGGCCTTTTGGGTCTACGTTTTTTTAACTTTTGGGCTAGAGTCTACAAGCCCAATGGAAAATCAATATATCAATAAAAATAATTTTGCTTTGCGCGAGTGAATGGACCATCCTCACTTGGAAAAAATGGTTAAGAGAGCTCAAGTTGATAACTTTTTTGGCCCTACAATTTTTTATCAAATTTTATGTATTATATGAAAAAATGCTTAATTATTACATTTAAATTTCATGTAAATAATTTTAAAAAGAGACAAAAAGTAAGAGGTGTATTATATTGTCATTGTGTACTCCCTCTGATTTTATTTATTAATCATTTCCAACCTATTTGAGCATAACTAAAAAAACTTTAAAATTTATTAATTTTATTTAAAAAGTTAATAAGTGTTTAACTTTAATCACATTAAATATGGATAATTTAATAAATTACTTTCTCTCACTAAGATTTAAGAGTGTAAAATGAAAATATGTGATAAGAATTTAATAATATGACTTATGAATAGAATTAAAAAAATATTTTCTCTTTTTCTTAAAAATAAAACAGCAATATTTTGAACAAGAAAATAATTTGGTTCAAGCTTGATTTCAATGTTCTAGTGACTATTTGATTTGAATATTTAAAAAAAATATCAAGAAAAAATAAACTTAACAGATTACTTCATGTACTTTCGTGTTCAGCGTAGCATTAGCAAGGATAGGTGGGAAAAACGTTATAGTGTTACATTGCTTGAAAAATCTTAGTTTTCTTAAGGTAAAAGTTAAAATTTGGTTAAAAAATAAAATAAAATAATTTTAAGAGAATGACAGTTAGGTCTTGATAAAAAAATTTATAAAATGAATTGTAAATATTAGTTCAAACATTTACAAATGAAAATTTATGCTACAATCTAAAAATTATATTTGATACTTAAATATTTATTTGTAATTAAAATTTTTGGATTTGTAATTATCTAAATTGATATTTTTAACTTATTTTAAAAAAAAATTTGCTAGAATTTAACTGTCATTAATTCAATATTTTAAAATTTAATAGTCATTCTCCTAATAATTTTTAAAAATTCAAGTACTCTAGACTCAGGCCACCTCAAACAAATCCAAAAGTTCAAGATGTTAGGACTAAATTTAGTTACACCAGCTTTTTATACATTTTGAAATTTTTAATTTGATTTAATTAAGCTAAGCTCAAATGGAGACCGATGTAAATAAAGAGGGATGAATCCATATTGAAAATAGGGGGAGCAATTGCTCCCATGATAAAAATAAATTTTACCTAAGTTTTAGTTAAAATCACACTTGCTCCCTTTAAAATTACAATTGCCTCCAGTAAAAAAATTTAAGTGCTCCATAACTCTTTAAAATTATCAAGCATACATATTAAAAACATTGTTTTATCTTATACTCCCTCCGAACCACAATATAAATTGCTTTCTAGAAACACATTTTGGTCTAAAATATAGGATATTTGGTAAATTTTATGTTTTTTTCTCCATTTATACTCTTTTTAAAAAAAATTATGTTAATGAGCAAAATAGACCTTAAACTCTTATTCGAAAAATACTCTGGACCTTGAACTCATAAAATGTAAAATAAACTTTAAACTTTTAAATTCATAACAAATTAAACCCTACTGTTATCTTTTTTTTTAATGATATTACTGTTCACCGTGGGCCCTAGTTTTTTAGTGCCACAAACTCTAAACTATTACGCAAGTAGTACCCTGAGCCCTAAACTTTGAAGTTTCAAGCAAATTATTCTCACTGTTTTATGTATAGAATATTAACTATTATGTAGATCAAATTAGTCTCAGCGTAGTTCGCTGCAGTAAATGTACTGTTGGCCATGGCAAACAGCTCATAATTTTGTGAAATGATGTTTTTTGCCTTTTTTTTGTAATATTTTCCAAACAATTAGTATCTCATGCATCAATATGCTCCATAACTCTGATTTAGTTTTATTTTAAATAATTTTTATTTATTTAATGGTGAAAACTTGGGATTCTAATGGAAAATAAGTTTAAATATCAGAGACTTTTAATTAACCAGTTACTTTGGGTTTAAAATTCATTGATGAAATCTTTGGCTTTTGCATTCATCGTTTGTAAAATCTTATGATACTTAAACTTCTTTTCAAATGGAATTTTAAGTTTTTATTATTAAATAAACAAATGTTATTCAAAATAAAACTAAATCAGAGTTATAGAGTATACAGAAATATGAGATACCATTCATTTGAAAAATATTGTAAAAAAAAGGGGCAACAATGTCATTACACAAAATTATGGGTCGTTCGCTACAGCTCATGATATATTCACCATGATGAGCCATGCTGAGGTTAATTTAATCTATATAATAGTCAATGTTATATACTTAAACGGTAGGGATAATTTGCTTGAAATTTTAAAATTTAAAGTCTAGGATGTTACTCGCATAATAATTTAAGGTCTATGATGTTAATTAACTGAGGCCCACAGTAAACAATAACAGCATTAAAAAAATAACAATAGGATTTAATTTATTACAAATTTAAAAGTTTAAAATTTATTTTATATATTTTAAGAGTTTAGAGTCCATGACGCTTTTTGAGCAAGAATTCAGGGTGTATTTTGCTCATTAACCTAAAAAAATTCATTGTCATTAATGCTCCATATTTAAAAACTATGCACATGTTACTGAAAAAAAAATAAAGGTGTAAATGAAAAAATGTGTAAATTTTTATAAAAGAAGGTTTCAAATAACATTTTTATAAATTGTGAATTAATTAACGATAATAAATATTATAGTCAGAAGGACATATATATTATAAAAATAAATTTATGATGCAAATAACATCAATATATATATATATTTTTAAACTCATCATATAATTTATTTATATATTATTTTAATTAATATTTAGAATTATATTTTTTTAAAAAAATTAATATGTATATTTAATATAAATTTTGGCCCCTCTAATAAATTTTTAAGGGTCGGCTGTAAATAAACCTGTCTCCATTACCGGATCTGGTCTTAAGGTGTAAATGATTTTATTAGGGGTGGGAAACGGATCCAGTAAAGTCATATTCACGTTCCCTGTCTGCCACTGCATTTGTTTCCGTTCTTTCATTGGAGTTCCAAAGCCAGCAAGCCACGTTGCTGCTGAAACGCTTTTAAAGTTCCCTCCTCTCCAATTTCAATTTCAAATCACTTCCCCAATATATATATATATGTCCACAAAATCTAACGCACAAATCAAAACCCACCCGAAAAAAGCCAGCGAATGATATCGCTTTCGATTCCAGAGGCATCTCTCTGGCGATATCCATTCATCTACCATTCTACTCTCTCTCCATTCTGATATCACCAACCAGTCAGCCATGCCTCCACGTTCTTCTTCTTCCAGGAAGAAATCAAACAGACAGCTCAGAAAAGCTAACAAGCACTTCACTTCACAACCCAACCACCATTCTTCGTCTGCTCTTCAATCCCAAGGTGATTCATTCCTCTCTCTCTCTCTCTCTCTCTCTCTCTCTCTCATTCATTAATTCTTCATCTATCATATGTCTCCCAATGTCCCATTCCTCTTTATCATGGTACCTTCGTTGTTACGTCTTTGATTGTTATGTTTGATCATCTTATGTTCTAAAAAAATTAATTTCTTACGCCCTTGTTTCCCTTTAAATGCGCTGGGTTAGGCGAGGTTGATCTGGGAATCCTCAGGGACCGAAATGGGCGAAATAGGAATTATGCTCTGAGACCCAACAGTAATAAGTGTCAGTTTTCGGTAGTTGAAGAGAAGAAGAACAAGGGGTTTTCTGTCACTGCAGGTCATAACGAAATGGAAGGATCGGTGGAAGAGACCCAAAAAGTAGAAGAATCTCACAGTGAAGATAAGCAGGTGGTTGGTGTTGATGAAGAAAACGTCAAAACAATTGTTGAATCTGCTGTTGCTGAAACCCAACAAGGTGAAGAAGAAGAAAAAGAAGTTTCAAACAGTGTGAAACAGAGCCAGGAGGAGGAGAGTAGTTCACTTGTTGAACCAGAGAAGACCAAAGATGCTTCTGATCTTATTGTTGAAGATATAAAAGTACTAGAAGCAGAATTGAAGCACAAGGCGAGTCAGGAGAAAGAAGCAGCTTTTCAAGAGACTCAGCTTCCTTCAGAGCCAGCTTTAGAGGCTGAAGCCTCAAGAGAAACTGAAGAAGCAGTTGAAGCAAAAACTGAAGCTGATGATGCAAATAAATCGGCTTCTTTCGAGGAGAAAAAGGAATCATCCTCGGTCGAAACAAACGAGGCAGCGTCGAAGATCAGTGACTCTTCTGTGCCTGAAACTGAAACTGATGTGAAACCAGAAGAAACTGGAGAAACAAAGTTACCAGCTGAAGAACAGAAAGTAGAGGAATCAACAGTTGTCAAAGAATCATCAAAAGAAGAAGAAGAAGAAGAAGCTAAAGAATCTTTGCCACCTTCAGATGTAGCTACTGCTGAAACCACTAGTGCCACAACGCAGGAAAAGACTGAAATGCCTACAAGCGCTGAATCTCAGGTATTGCATATACAAGACACGTTGAGATACTTCAAATTATACTCGATTGCTTCACATTTTGTCTGATGTGCTGTTGTATCTGTGACAGTGTTATGCTTTTCCGATAATTTAATGTTCCCCTTCATTAATTCTATGATGTTCCAATGATCTTTACTGTGTAGCAAATCACTGAAACTCAGGCTCCACAAGAACACGCGTCTTGGTGGAGAAGCTGCTGTGGAATTTTTGACATTCTAAGCCGGTGATAGATCAGATAAGGTGAGGGCAATATTTTGCGACTTGTTACTGAACTAGGATTGGAATTATGAATTTAAAGATTTAAAACTATTTTTAGCTCAACCATCAATTTTGTATCATTGACTTTGTGAATTGTTAAGATTTGTGAGATTCAAATGGTGAATTGTAAGAATTTGACTGCTATACTTCTGGATAATTGATCAATTGTACATTTTGACTTTAACTAGATCTGAAGATCTACATCTGCCACAATGATAAGCACATTGATTTTTGCCTGAAATATGATATATAACTACATTGATTCAACTTGGAACTTCCAATTCCTCCTTTCTCAAGCTCACTAGAAATGTGATATTTTTTGAGATCTATCCAGTTAGTCTTGAGCGATGACTTTAAGGATAAATAGCGAGATTTTAGATCATCAGATTTATTACATCTGTGGCAAGCGGAGAGATGAGGATTTGCTTTTTGCTGCAATATATCAACGCAAAATGCTAACAGGGCTTTCTGAGTCAGGGAAGAATCCAGAAATGAATACGCAGGAGGGCAAGCATAAACACTATTTAAAATATGGGGGGCTAAGACTAATTTGTACATATTTTATAAGCCAAATAAAAAATACCCAAAATTTTTTAAAAGACCAATCAAATTGTGGGCCCCCCTGCATACGTCCCTGTTCTGAGTTAATGCTATATTTACTTCTCTTGTTGTCAGTTGTTGAAATAGCAGGTACTACTTATGTGGGTTTATATGCGTCCAAATGACACCAACAGGCATTGGTTGGTCTTGATAGAGGAGACTATATGGCCATTTAAATACAAAGTCTTAGGCTTGAGTTTGTTTAAATGTAGAAAACACCTTTGAAAATGATTCCTCCACTCGGGTTTGATAATGCCTAAATATGACCCAATTAAATAGTCATATAAAAAAGAGAGAGATTTATCATTTTGTTTATCTCTCTCTACTTTATCCTATGAAGTATTTCGGAGAATTCACATTCATCTAATAAAGGAAAGATTTAAATGCTTTAGGAAACATATAACTTTTGGAACTTAAGTTTGTTCTTAATTGTTAATTCAATCTCTAAACTTTGATTTGAAGTAACTCAATCTCTATACTTTTTTGATTCAAAACAACTTAGTTTTTGTACTTCCTTGACTTAAAATAATTCAATGCTTATAATTTTTTAACTCAGTAAATTATAATGACTGAATTATATTGTATTGAGTCAAAATTTAAGAATTAAATCAACAATTGAGAGAAAGTTTAGGGATTAAAAATAAGATTGTCCCAATACTTTAAATTGGAAGTGTTTCCATTCATGAATAATTTATTAACTTGAGTTTTCATGTTTAACATGCATAGCAGTGAGCAGATCATCTTCAAAAGAAGACACTGAGCATGATCCGTTGGATGTAATGTCAGACTTTTCAGGGGCAAAGCTTCTTTGCTCATGGATGGATGATTTCAGAGTCAGATTGAGAGGCATATTTTTCCAGGTGTGAGAGTGAGTGTGTTTTACTTTGAGAAGGGAATTATATTCATTTCATTTGAGTCGTAGTGTGAATGTGTTGAACTGAGAATTTCTTTACATAAATATTTCTCTGCTGCTGCATTTTTATGTTATGTATCATTCTTTAATGTTTGTGTTGCAACTTGCAATGGATTGAATTTGATCGTGACTTTTTCTTCCTGACTTTATGTAATTTTTATGTTATGTATCATTCTTTAATGTTTGTGTTGCAACTTGCAATGGATTGAATTTGATCGTGACTTTTTCTTCCTGACTTTATGTAATTTGGCTGTCTCTTTTTCTTTTTTGGTATTTTAATTTCATCTTATTCTCTTATCTTTTCTTGCAGTTTCTTTTTTCCTCCTCTTGCTAGTAGGTTCAATTTAAATTCTGATGATAATCGCGATAATTAATTATCCATATAATTTACTGATAAAGAGTTCAATATAGTCTCAATCGTTACTGAGATTACTTGTGATCCCTAATTATAAAACAAAGTTTTAAAATCCTATTTGATCCTAAATACTGGGTAATGATGTATAGTAGTTAACTTTTTTTTTAATTCTTATAATTTTTTAATTCTGTATAACTCAATGTATGTAATTTTTTAACTCAATAAATTATAAAGATTGAGTTATATTAAATCAAAATTCAATAATTAAATTGATAATTGAAAGAATCTTTAAAAACTAAAAATTATATTATCCCTACATTTTAAAAAAAATTGCAAGTTTGTAGCTCCAAAATGGGGAATACCTTGGAATTTTTTTCTCATTTTAAATTATTTTATTAAAAAGGAAAACAAAAAATCTAGGAAAAATGATAATAAAACCTCTCAAGTTATATAAATAATAAACTGATCTCTTGAAATGCTATAATTTTACTTAAGCTCCTAGAGACTCCTATGTCAATAAATTTTAAAGTGAAAAATTATATTACTTTTATTAAAAATAATAAACTCCAACCACAACTTTTTGTTTAAAGAATGACAATTTTATTTTGTGAATCGCAAGAATTTAACAAAAAATTACAACTCGTCATCTATAGTTTTTATTATTAAAAAATAAGTTCTTAAAAGGATTAATATATAATTTGGACCCTAAACTATAACTCCAAGGGTGATTTAAACTCTAAATTTTAAAAAGGTGCATTTTAAACCCTAAACAATTAAAGTTGGGATAATTTTGCCTTTATCATTAACTTTCAACAAACGTTCGTCAAATTTATTTAGAAAAAATTGCACTTTAGGCCTCAATTTGATGAATGTTTGTTGAAATTTAACAGTATGAGTGAAATTACCCCAACTTTAATTGTTTAAGGTTTAGAATATACCTTTTTACAATTTGAGTTCAAATCGCCCCTGGACTTATAATTTAGTGTTCAAATTATATATTAACCCATGGTAATATTACAAATTTTTCAGGATGTGAGAAGAATGAATAGAAAAAGGTAAATAATGATGATGAAACTATATAAAAAAGCTGTAAATTGTAATAATGAGTAAAGCAATTTTTGGTGGAGACTATGGTGAGTATGAATGAGACAGTCTTGAGTTAACTATTTTTATTTTTGCTGGGTGGGCTTTTGATAAGCTATCAATGACAGCAATAGGAGTATAACATAATCTTTTATTATAAATGTACTTTCATTTTTTTTTCTTGTTTGTTTTTTAGTATAATGAAATTTCATAATAGTATCGGTAAAAAAATATATTATTGTTCTTTGTTAAAGAAAAATTTTAAAATAAATTTCTCTTCATATACTTTTTTCTCTGTCTCTTTGTTTATTATAAAAGCATTTGGTTATATTTTATAAATTTTCACTTTTATTGATCAATTCAAACTAAGAATCTTACATACTCCTTCAAAATCTTTTTAAAAATTGATATAATATGTAAAATATACTTTTTTTGTTACTATTGAATTATTAATGATTAGAGTATATTTTTTAAAATAGAAAAAGGTTGATATGCAATTTAAACCCTAAATTATAAGTCTAAAGGCGATTTGAACCTTAAATTTTAAAAAATATGCATTATAAACCTTGAACAATTAAAGTTGAAGTAATTTTGCCCTTGTAATTAACTTTCAACAAGCGTCTATCAAGTGGAGGCTTAAAGTGTAATTTTTTTTTAAATGAATGTATCGAACGTTTGTTGAAAGTTAACGGTGGGGTGAAATTGTCCCAACTTTAATTATTTAGAATTTAGAATACACTTTTTTAAAATTTAGAGTTCAAATAGCCCATGGACCTATAGTTCAAGGTTCAAATTACATATTAATCCTTTTTAAAATAATAAGTTTTAATCACAAATTTTATTTAAAAAATAACAACTTTTATTTAAAGAATCATGAACAAAAATTCACAACTTATCAATAAAGGTAAAATGAACTTTTTAATTTAAAATTTATTGATATAAAAATTCTTAAGGACTAAAATGAAATTATAATATTTTAATAGATGAAATTATCATTTATATAATTTAAAAGATTTTATTATTATTTTTTCAAAAATCTACCGTAAACAAAATCGTATGATAATTAAAACATTATTTTCTGTCTATTTAATTGCTGAAAGGAACATGTTTTAAAGGAAAAGCAGCAAATCCTGGTCAAAACATGAAAGGAAAAGCTTCAATCAATTGCTTTCTTCCTAAAACCAATAAAACAAAAAGGCAAATTTCAATTATTGGCTTTACAAGGGGGCCAAAAAGCATACGCTTATTTTGTTGCCATTAAGAGCAACATTATTTCCCAAATGCTTAGACCAAACGACTCATCTAATTCAAGCATATTCTCCCCCTAAAACTTGGCCTTGCAAGCTGACGCTCTTTATTTGCTTTTCTTCTACAACTGACTTGTTATATTTCATAGCATACTTTATCATCTATATTATCAGTAATTATTCACTCCATTTCAATATATATATATACACTCTTTTTGTAAAAAATATAAAACATTTTAACTTTTTTAAAGCATAATCATTACCTTTTTTAAAAAAAAATCCCTATTGAATAGATTACTTTACATTTTTTTAAGGTGAAACACCCTATTAAATAAAGATAAATATGAAAAAATAGAGTTAATTTAAAAATAAATAACTACTTTATTATAAGGTAAAATTAAATTAAAAATGTCTTATATTTTTTAATAAAGGAACTATATTTATTTTGAAAAAATTTTATGTTTCATTTTATATGTCTCAGAATTGGCTGATTGGCCTTATAATGTTATGTTAAGTTCAATTTATTTCCCTTTTGTTCTTTTCTGCTTTCTGTTTTTTTTCTTTCCATGTTTTGGACTTTGTTATTATTTGGCTGCTGTTTCATTTAATCTATGCAAGTTTGGACGGGACGAAAAGAAAAAAATAGGAAGAAAAGAAAACTAAACTTGAAAACTTTCAACCAGAGTAAAAAAAAAAAATCATGTTCTTCTATTTTTTTCTTCTTCCTATTTTCTTCTCAATATTTCCTCCATTCAAATTAAGCCTTATATATATATATATATATATATATAAAGATAGTATAAAATCATTTGAGATGCTTTAAATATGTATAAAAAAATTATAAAATGCACCAATGAAGAGAGTGGAACAACAATTTTGAACCTATAAAGAGAGGTAAAGGAAGACCAAAAAGGACAACAACAACAACAAACCTTATCTCAATAGGTGGGTCGGCTAGATAAATTTAAAGTAAAAAATAAAAGCCGGGCTTGGAGGGTTAAGCTTGGAGATCTTATTTAAATAAAAATTCGAGCTTGAAAAATTGAGTTTTTTTTTTTGAAAAAACATATATTTTGGTCCCTGCACTTTGCTCCTTTTTTGCTATAAGTCTTTGCATTTTTTTTTTTTGTGTCTTGGGTCCTTACACTTTCAATTTTCACATTTAACATTTATCCAAAGTCTCTATACTTTGTTCATTTTGTTCATTTAGGAACCTAAAACACAAAAAAATGAAAGTGTACATATCCAAAACTCTGAAAAAAGAAGTACAGAAATCTATAATAAAACACAAGCAAATTGTAAGGGCCAAAAAATATGTTTTTTCTTTTTAAAAAAAAATCAAGCTTCAAAACTCAACCCTGATTGGCCCTAAAAAAAAAAAAAAAGCTAAAGCCCAAGCAACCATGTTCCCTAAAAAATTGACGCTAGTTGAGGTTTTGTGTTGTTAAAATGATTGATATTGATTCTTTTATCATTTATTTTAACACGATATTGACAACTATTTTATTAACTTTTTAGAACATGATTACTTTATAAAATCTATTTCTTAATTTGGATTAATGTTATACTTTATGATACACTAGTTTTTGTATTTATCAAATTTAATAAGGTTAATCTAGATTCAAAATTTTTATTTTCATTTGAAAATATTGATCAAAATTCTATATATTGATTTATATTTACTTATTTTATTGAATATCTGAAAAATAAAATGAGCTTACTGACTCGACTTTGAACTCTTTAAATAAACGTCGAGCTTCAAAAGCTCTTTAAATAAAGATTAAGCTTCAAAAGCCTTTCAAATAAGGATCAAACTTCAAAAGACGACCATTTTTCAAGAAATCAAGCTCAAGAACCTAGACTCATCAAGGTTAGGCCCACTCATTTCCCATCTCTACATGAATTACATGATGTTATTGTGCTTTATCATTAACCAAACTAACAACTTCTATAAATGTTATCTTTGATCTTCCTCTAACCCTTTATCGATTTTCAAATTATCCATTTCACTTTTCTTGCCAATGCTTCTTGTGATCTTCTCCATACACATCCAAAACATCTCAAATGACTTTATATGATTTTTCTCTCAATAAATGCTACACTTACTTTTTTTCACATATCTTCATTTCAAATTTTATCTTTACACATATGCGCGCACATGCAAAAATAACACTCAAAAAAATTGTTAAACGAAACTTTTTAATTAATAATATTATCAAAAGTTTGACCCATAACAGAGCACATCATACAATTCATATAACCAATTCTCCCTAATGTGATAAACTTATTTTCGTCGTAGATTTTATTGGCAAATTAGACTAATACAAAACGAAAGGGAGTTGAACTGCAATTGTTGAAAAATTGGAGGACGTGTGATAATTTTAACGGCAAAGAAAGTAAACTTATCTCAAATGAGTATTACATTACTGTTCAATTGCATTTGGACGTGAACTACAAAGGCCACAAGCAACTAATTGGTAAGAGAACAGATCCTAAAAGGGTTCCACTAAACACATAATTATTTGATATCCAATATAACCAATTATTTTAAATTCAAGCATTGTCTAGTCCAAATATGTAACCCTCCTGATCTAATTATTTTCCATCCAGAAGCTTTAAAAATCAAAGAATAGCCAGCCATTTCCACTTAACAAAAGCATCTTTGCTGCGCCACATTTTAAATCATAAAGGGTAAAATAATTTTGAATACAGACAAGAGGATCAAATTATAAACTATCCTCGAAAATTGACTCAAATAAACCAGTCACACTCCATTCATCCTAATAACACCCAGCATGTTTTAGCTGATGTATTGAATTCTAAATATGGAAGCTGGACTTCAGATTAACAACAAATAAATTTGAGGGCCTATAAAAGCCAACTCCTCTATTTGGAAAATCCGTATCCTTTCCTCTCTCTTTTTCTCTTGATAAGAAAAGGATTTCTACAGACAAGTTCCTATCGTTATCCACTGCCTTTAGACAGTAAGGTCAAGGTTGATCAAAGATGACAATGTTACTATTAAGACTTAAAACTACGAGAAATCCTAGCCAAGACAGAAACAAAAGGAAACCCTATTATCAATGCCAATAAATGTGGCGGACAATCAGTTCTGAAATAAGCCTAGCAAATGAAGCAAACACCCATAATCAACAAAACTAAACCTACTCAACTTTTACTCTCAAAACCCAACGGCAAGAAAATGAAGGTCTAAGCAAATAGGAGACAGCTAAAACTCAAAGCTTTTCTCAATCCAAATGGCAAAAACTCACAATGACTCGAATAAGAATTAAAAACTGACTTTACAACTGAGAATCCAAAGAATAAAGAACCTAAAATACAATCTAAGACAGTAAAAACCAGAACTGATCAGCAGAAAAGAAAAAAATAACCGTAATCATCATCCAGCCATCAAATTCAAATGTGATTAATAGCATCGTTCTACATGTAACCTACAAACAGCATGAGCGCTCCACATTTCATAATGAGAAGAAATATAACTTCATAGTTGAAGTAATTGACCGAGGTTGATGATGATATGATTGTTGACAACTTTCAGCTAAGCTCAACGTCAGACAAGAGACAAGGTCAAAGAGTCTAGGTTTGCTGGCTGCCATCATTATTGAAGTTTGAAGCTAGTAAATAGCATATTAAACAGAAACAAACGCATCATCCCAACTTGGAAACTAATGTAATTTATTAAACACACACTTATAACATCATCTTTATTAGTTCAAACCGCTTAAGATAGAATCAGGTGCAGCAACTAAGAACCCAACAAAAAGTATGCGAGGTTGCCAACTTTAATATAAATCAGAAAGCTCATAGGCTAAAAAAACAAAGCCAGAAAAGCATTACCCTATCAAAACTGAAGTATATTCGCGACAATGAAATAGGTGAATCCTAACCTCCATTCTTCATCTTCCCATTCATATGCCTCTTTAGACATTAACCGCTATGTGACCGCAAAAAATCACCTACGTTTCCCATAAAAGACATAGACGACAACAGCTGCGGCAGCAATAGCTCCCGTAGAACCCGCTGCCACTAATGGCCACTGCAGTTTCAATCCCTTCAACCCCTTCTCTTCAACTTCTAGGCCATTTACACGCCCATTGACCGCCCCAAATGCCTTCTCCCTCAGTGTACCGATTACATCCTCGGCTTCACTCGCCTCTTGCTGTAACTGGAGAATATTTAATTCCATTCTTTTTGCTTTGTCCTCGGATTCCCTCAATGCTTCCTCCAAATTCTTTTTCTCTTCAACCCAATTCTCCATTTCAGATCCATTGCCAACTACTACCTTCTCCAACTCAGCAGTCTTTGCTTTCAAATCTTGAACTTCCCTCTCTTTTTCACTGATTTTTTCTCTCAACTCCTCTTCAATCCTAATTCTTTTGTTCCTTTCCTCAACTTCCTTCTTTTCCAGAACCCCGAGTTTCTTCTCCAAGTCCCTCACTTTCACCTCACTTTCCGCCTTTGTTTTCTTCAAACCCTCAACTTCTCTTTCGAGATTTCCAACCCTTGATTCTTTGTCTGCCAAAGCCCTCCTCAATTCATCTGCCTCTGCTCTAGCTTCTTCAGCAGCGCTCATCTCAGCAATAGAATCATGCTGAAGCCTAGTCACCTCAGTCTCCAGGTCAAATGCTCTTTTCGCAATAGATTCTGCCACCCTCCTAGACTCCTGGAACTCTTCGACCTCTTTCTCCATTTCTTCCACCTTCTTCAACAACTCAGCTTTACCGTTTCTCAGGTCCTCAATCTCCAGAGTCAATTTCTGGGTTAGCTCCTTCCTCCCAGCATATTCATTCACCAAATCATCTTTCTCACGCTCCAATGCCTCGATTTTCTTCTTCAATTCCGCAGCACGAGCATCCCTCCCGCTTTGATCGGCATCAAAGAAACCATCCCCAGACTGATCGACGCCATTGGCAACCATGTCATCCGCCATAGCTAATCCTAAAAGAAAAGAAGTAACGATCAAACTTAAAAACTACCACGTTATGTTTCCCGGAAAATTATCAATAAAAACAATCGAATTCCTCGATCAGCGAAGCTGAATTAACCAAGAGTTAAAAACCTGCAAGTTAAAAGAAAAAAAGCACAATAAACAATAGTTGAAGATAGAGCAAAACAAAGCCCTGAAAATTACACGGCACAGTCCGAAGTAGACGGAAAGAATGAAGCAGCGACGAGTTCAGGGACTTGGGAGAAAAATCAAGAAGAAGGAACTTGTTCCAGGAAAGCGACGAAGAAAGTAGCACCTTTCTTTTTGGAGAGCGCAGGATTCGCACGACTAGGGTTTGTGGTATTTGGCTTAAAAAGATCTCGACTTTTTCATTTTCACGCTGCTCGAATGGAAAAAAGATGGAATCGGAACATACAACGGTTCAGATTTGAAGCTTTATTGCAGACTCACAGTGCGGTCACCATACCCGCCGCATCGAACCATTACAGGATAGGTAGGAATCGGACAACTCAGAAGCCCATTGTTTCTGGGCTTTTTGAGCCCAGTATGTCATCACAGTCCTGTCGATTGAAGTTTAGGCCCCCCAGTTTATAGAAAATGTTAAAAAAATAATATAGCTTGTTTGACAAGCTCTTATAAAAACAATTTTCTAGTCCTTAGAATAAAAAAAATTTATTTAGTAATGTATTTTAAAAATTATTTTAAAAAATAAAAAAAATTAAATATTATTCTAGAGAATAAAAAATAAAACATCTTTTAAATATTTTGAAATTATTGCTTTAGAGAATAAGAGAAAATGCAAAAAACACTAATTTTTATTATTTTTTATTCTCAAAATATATTCTACAAAAACATCAATTCTTATAACAATAAAACAAAATCAATTATATAATCATTTAATTTATATAGTTTTGACTTAGTTATAATTTAGTAACTAATATTTGACTCATTGTAACTCATAGTTATAATTTTGACTCAATTATAAATTAATTTTTAAACTTTGACTCAATACAACTCAATTCTTATAATTTTAATATTGATATTAGAAAATAAAATTATAAAAATTAAAATTATTTTGAAACCTAGGGACTAATATTTTAAATTACTAAAAATTTTAATTTTTATAAAGATTGAGCATGTATAAAGAAGACCGCAGGAGGCACTAATAAGAAGAGTGAAACATATAATTTTGAATTCTGTTAAGAGAAGTAGAGAAAGGCCTAATAGAACATTTTTAAAAGTTGTTGAACGCGATCTCTTAATTAATAATATTTTTAAAAGTTTGATAAATGATAGAGCATAATGGCGTCTTGCAATTTATGTAGCCAACCTCACCTGATGGGATAAAGGCTTGTTGTTGTTGAAAGTTTAAAATAATTTTAATCTTTATTATTTTATTTTCTAAAATATAAAGATTAATATTTTAAATGATAAGAATTATGGGGACTAAATTGCACCGAGTTAAAGTTTGTGGGCTTGAATTATAATTGAGTTAAAATTATAAAGATTGAGTTATAACTAATCAAAATTTATAAACTAAATTACAATTGAGTTAAGATTACATGAATACAAATAATTAATTTTTCCAAATTATGATGGTTTTTTTAATTTTACGTCTAATTAACTCTAATGATCAGTTAACAACAGGCATTGGTCCTACTGGAATATGCAATAACCACTTAAACAGAAAATCTTGAGTTCGAGTATGTAGAAATGTAAAAATAGTCTCTGGAAGAATTATCCCCAATTATGCTAGATAATATTCAAATTTGACCCAAAGAAATAACAATATGAAAGCAAAAACTCTAACCATATCAAAAAACAAAACTCTAATAATGAGTTATCTGTCATCAAAACATTAATAATATAAGAGTAGTTCGCGTTTAATTTGAATTATTTGTAAAATAATTTTAACTGTTAATATTTGTAGGCTATGTATATATATATATGAAGGGCCTTCAAAGAAAAATGTATATATGTGAAGGGATTATAAGAATAAAGAGCGGGTGAAAAAACAAAATGCATGTCATATTTGCTTAAAACATTTTTAGATCACTTTCTCCTTTAATCTTTGTACATAGAACATAATGCATATAACGCATTATGGCTTAGAATCAAACCGGTGACTTTGACGTCCAACGAAAACAAAAACAAAAACAATGACTTTGAGATTTGTGTGTGTGTGTGTGTGTGTGTGTTTTTTTTTTTTTTAAAGGTAAAGCTTCTCTCTAATTGGGTCTCACTCAATTCAAATATAAATTTCTTTTAAAGACACGATCTGTAAAATGAAAAATCAACTAAAGGCATGTACATGCGAAGGAAGAAAAGGTGAGAGAAAATATATAAAAGCAAATGACTGAGAATAATAAACAAGATTAAATTCATATACATATAATCATTCATCGAGTCAGATTTTTTTTTTTGGATAAATTTTACACATAAGAAAAGGGTAAGATTAGGAAGAAGAAAGAAAAGGGATACGAAGAGAATCTAAAAATGAAGAAAATCGCACACTGACACTCACAGTGAAGAACAGAAGCAAGCAAGTGAACAGTATATTTGTGGAGGCCTGAGCTTAATGTATCTTCCCATGCAAGAGCTGTGTGCGAACAGTGAATGTAGCTGCCCTCGCTTCCATTCCCATTCATGCAATTATACCTTCTGACATAAAATGTATGTAGTAGCTAGTAAAGTAATACAGAAACTTATTATTTTATCAATCACAAGGACATTTTAGTCCAAATTATTTAATTTTAGACATGATAATTAAGATTTACAAACTTTGTAAACTGTGTAGGTTGGTTAATAAAACTTACTTATATTTAAAAATGGGGGAGTAATGCTCTGCTCATTCCCCCTCCCTCTAACACCTATTACACGTCTGTATTTAATATCTAGTGTTATAAGTCAGATTTAAATATTAATCAACTCAAGTAAAAATAATATTAAAATATTTTTTTCCATTCATAAAATTTGAACTCCCAAATTGAATCATCCCTTCCTTGATTCCTTCTAACCAGGCATAGTTAACAACACCTGGATTATTCCTAAGTTGGCCTGAAATATGAGTGGAAAGAAAAATAAATGTAATCAACTTTGTTGAACTGTTCAAGGAGATTAAATTAATTTAACTTGAAGTTTTAAATTTGAATCTTAAGATATATAATTGCGTTAAATAAATATGTTGAAAATATTTTTAAGGTATCCATGAGGTCATGCACGGTTGGTAATAGCAGTCACACACAATAGGCATTGTGTTTGGATTTTGATTGGAAAAAGTTAATTATGAAAAAATTAATTAACAAAATGTAATGATGTTTAGATAAGATTTTTTTTAAAAAAATTGATTTTGTAAATATCAGTTATTAAAATGTATATATCTAATAAAAACAAAATTAAAAACTTATTTAATTTTTAGAGAGAATTAATAAATTTTAAAATTTATATTAGTTGTAATCAAATATATTAAAAATTATTTATAAATAATATGGAAACTATATATTATGTGGAGCCCACAATACCTTACTGTAAGAACTTCCTCTCTCTGGTTGGGTTTTAAAATAGGTACTGTACAATTTAATGAAACTGATGGATTGTTCATGCATTGAATTGAATGCAACTGGGACTACTTCCTCTCTCATCAGCCTCCCATTTACCTCTCAAACCAAGATACTTAAAATTTTAGAGATAATTTTATCAACAAAAAAAAAAAGAATAGGGATGATTATAATTGTAATTGTAATCAAGATAATATAATACATTCGATTTTTTCTTAATTGTATGATTTAGATCCACTAAATAAAGTCCATAACCTCGTTTACTTTTTTCCAACGGTGATTCCATGTATGAGGTCAGCATATATTTGCCAAAAAAAAAAGAACAATTATTGAGTGAATTATTTCAACTTTTAACTGGACAGGTGGGAAGCATGTGCTCCACATGTGCCTCACCACTTGCGAGACTAAATCTTGTAATATTTAAATTAAATCAACTTAATATATTATAGATTACACCTACATCTAATTAGGACCCTAACAATTAAACTTTGACTCTAGCTAGAGACTTTAAAGACAAGATTTGTCATTGATTAAAAATACTTTTTGATTCATCAAATCAGATTTCAATCGCTTGTTTCGATTTTCTTTTAACTTTAAATTAAAAAAATATGTTGTGAATAAAAAATTATTTAGTTAATCTTATTTAAATTTGTTCTTATTTAAATTTAAGAATACTTAAATATAACTCACTAATAGCATATTCATTAATTTCAAACTTTAGCTTTACATGCAAATGCCTCAAAATAATCAAACTTGGTAACAAGAAGGCTTGGTGTCTGAATTTTTGAAATTTAGGAATTCTAATGGTAAATAAGATATTTAAACTTTAAATATAACTTTTAATTTGTAATTGAAATTCAATATATTTAACTCATTTCTCAGAGAATCTTATTAAAGGCTTAATTGTTAGAAATTTCTCATTTTAAAAGTTTATTGTCATGCTCCTCCATATAAAAATTATAAAAGAAGAAACAATTAATTACAAATTTCAGCTTTACATGCATGCAAACATGTCAAAATAATCAATCTTGCCTCAAAACAAGAAGCTTTGAAGCAAATGCGTGAAGCTTGATTCTCTCTCTTCAGTCAAGAGTTGAAAGCATGTTATCATTAAAAGATGTATTGAAACACAGCACCACTAATGTCTATAAGTGCAACTTTTGCACAATTCATGCTGCCATTCAGATTATAGACATAACACCTTGGCCCCACCTCCCAACAGCCCACATTCATGTATCTGCAATCAAACCTCTATTTTTTTATTTTATTTATTTTCCCAAAAAAATAAATAACACCCAAAAAAATAAAATAATTTTTTCTTTCACTAACAGTTCCCAAAATCACACACTCCCACTATCACTATTCCACTACAGTTCATTATGAAACAGAGCCGTCTGAGTAAGATTCCTACAACATGAAATCACAACATCCTCTAATTAATAAATCCATAGCTTACACTAACCATGTGAAGCAGTAAACCCATTTAGCTGGGAAGTGTCACCAAAGAGTATCAATGGACAAGAAAAGAATAATAAAAAAACATCAAATCTTAACCGAAAACTTTCAATATTTGAATTTACAAATCCTTCCTATTTTATTATATATTAGTGTTAACTTTTAAATTTAATACTTTTCATGTTTGAATCCACTTACACTTGAGAAAAAACTTCTCAACTTAAATCCAATCACTCGTTATGTAATTTTCTTAATTAACAAGTTAAAACATAGTAAGAACTATAACTTGTTCAAAATCTAAAAAAATAATTTGAAGGCTTGGGATGGGAGATCGGATATTCGTTGATCCCAGTGAAAAGTAGTAAAAGATCAAACGATAATTTAAGAAAAGGAAACGAGTAAAAAAAAAAAAAAAACCTAACTAATTGGTCTGTTGTGAGCAATATGATGATCAACCACCGAGTTTGGACTTCTCTTTCTCTAACCTCTCGAACAAGTTGGAGAGAGCTCTTAAGCCTTTGATTTGGTACTGCAACGCCATTATATAACCTGCAGTTTCATCGAACAGCTTGTCCATTTCCAAGGACTCGCCACCTGGCACTATCCTCTGTAATGCCTCAATCTTCTTCTCTATCTCTTCCCTTTCTTCTTCTTCTTCTTCTTCGTCCTCGTGATCTTCTACTTTCTGATCATCTTCGTTTACCGTCTTGGTCTTTGTCTTCTTCCTGCTGGTGGCGGTGGAGGGTTGGTCTCTGCTGCGGCGGCGCCGATGGTGGGGTGGCCGGAGAGAGACATCTCCTGTGGGGATGTGGGGGACAGAGGCATTGTCTGGTTTTGAGGGGAATGTGAGTATGGGAATGTGGGTTTGCTCTGAATTCTGTGGTTCTTCCATAGACACAGAGGAATGAGGAGAGAGGAAGTGTGGTGGTGAGAGAGAAAGAGAGAGATGGAGGAGGAGGAGGAGGAAGTGAAGGGTTAAATTATTGTGGAGCTCCAGAAATGTCAATGCCAAGTTGCCAACGAAGCTGGTCCCACCAGCGGTCTTGGCTTCGCAATTAGCCACCATGCCTTCGGTTGGAGGCTCGGTCATGAGTCATGACCCATGCCTTCCCTCTCCATCTCCTGTTGCAATGCACTTCTTTTGGGATCGACCTATTTTAGCAAAATTTAAAATAAATGGTTAAATTATTATTAATGTTATTTGAAAATATAATAAATTTTTAATTTATCTGTATCTAAGTAAAAAAATTAATTTCTATTATGTTCTTTCTCATAACTAATAATTTTAAACGGGAATGATGTTAAAAAAAGCTTAATTAATATTTTATAAGGATAATCCATTTTTTAAGAAAAAGTGTTTATAATAAGAAGTAAAGGGAACATTGTCATATATTGTTTTTCTCTTTTAATTGTCTCAAGTTAATAAATTATATTTATTATTTATTTATATTTATTTTTTCGTAAATTAGGTTGACATGAGATATGCCTGAAACATCAGATATTCCAGTAAAAAAATAAGCTTAAGATTGAGAAGAAAAGTTTTGAATTAGTGTATAGGCAAAATGAGGAAGGGGGTAAAAATAAAAGGAGAGAAAAGGAAAGCAAAAGAGAAGGGTAGGGAGGGAGAATAGTAGGGGTAAAAAAGGAAAAGTAAAATGGTGGGACCCAGAGGACACAAAAACACATGTGGTGATCACATGAATCCCTTGAAGGAAACACCAACCCATGTGCCTCTCCCCCCCCTCTCTCTCTCTCTCTCTCTCTCTCTCTCTCTCTCTCTCTCTCTCTCTCTCTCTCTCTCTCTCTCTCTCTCTCTCTCTCTCTCTCTCTCTTCCTTCCTTTGCCTTTTTGCTTGGGATCATAGCATATCATCTCCCACTCACTGACTCCTTCTCTCTCTGCCACCTGGCACTTTCCACGCTACCCCACCTTGAGCCCCACACCTCGGGCCCCACCTGCTTTATCTTATGTTCCTAGTGCTGCTTCCTCTAATTCTTACCTCTGCTACTGCTAGTAATATTAGTATATCACTTTATCCTTGCTGTTCAAAATTACGGACACTCATACTAGCACATACATTCTCTATTCTTATTATTTGTTGGCGCCCCAAGAGTCCTTTCATATTTTTATTTTTAAATTTTGTATCTTATAAATTTTATATAAAATTATATGCTCATTTCATTTAAAAATATAAAATATTTTTAACTGAATATTATCCTCAATAAAGTAGTTATTTATTTTTAAATTAATCCTTTCTTTTTATATTTACCCTCTATAAACATTCTATAATAAATATAAAATTATTATCAATAAGAGCACTTTAAAAAATAATAATTATATCTTAAAAGATTAAAAATATTATACATTTTTTAATATGTGACTTTTAAAAAAATATCTTATATTTTTAAATAGATGGAGCATTTTTTTTAACCATACTTACGATTTGCTTAGAAGAGAGTAAATCTTATCTCTAGAACTAGAGAGGGTACGGGAGTTGCTCACTATTGAAACTAACAATATTAAAATTTATTCCTTGCGCATTCAAGACATATTTTCAAATTTTCCTATCATGATTAAAATTCTCTATTAAATGGGCATCGTTGAGTAAGGAACAAAGTTAAGCTTAAGCATAATAATAACAAGGGTATTTTAGTTCAAAATATTCAACAAGAGACATGATTATTAAGCTAAGCTAAATTTCTTAAATTGTGTGAGAAATTTATAATTTGCTTATATTTAAAGACAAACAAAGTAGCTGAGAAATATGTTTTTATCCTAAATGTAACACTTTAGTATTATTTTTCTCTCCCATTTAATATTATTTTCTCAAAATATTCTCATTAACTTATAATTTTGCTCATCACTTTGTCTTTTAAGGTATTTTAAGGAAACTAGGAAAGTGATACACATTTTTACACAATAATAACAAATAACTAAATTAATTTTGTTTAATCTACATCAATTTGTTAACTAAGTCTTATATTTAATATTGAATGGAGTCACATAATTTTTTTTGTTGCATGCACAAGATAACAATTTATGAATGTTTGATTTTATTTAAGAAGAATCAAGTTTCTTCCAATCAACCTAACATTTGTTGTTTGTTCTTAATTTTTTTATTTCACTTCTCAATGTACCCATTTCATAATTCAATTACATATTTAAAAAAACCATTCAAACGTTTCATTTGGTATAACCATGTGAAATTAGAATAGAATAAAACTAAACATAAGAAAGTAAATTTTATGAGAGTATAAAAGTTCAATTTATTTTAATAGACTAAATTTCAGGAAAGAAAATCAATAAAAATTTAGAAATAATTAAAATAAACCTTAACATAAAGTAGAATATGTTTAGCATTTGTTTGGAGAAAATTTGTTAATGATACCAATGGATTGTTAAGATGAGAAACCATGGCATTTGATGAAAGTAGAACTTTGAATTAGAAGACAAAAAAAAAAAAAAGGTGAGATGTGGATGAGAGAGAAGGAGAGAAAGTGGGAGGTGCAAGTGTTTGTGTTTCCAAGAAGGGAACTGGTGGAAGGATTGAGGCATGTGGCAGAGCACATTCCATGTGCCTCACTTGTTCACTCCCAACCTTTTCTGTTTTTATTTGTTTTTAAATATATTTTGGGATCCGTACCCATTTCTAGTACCAAATTTCCATCCGTTTTGGTCAACCTTCAACGATATACTTTAGTAATGTTTAATCCAATTATAATCTCTTCACAATTTATTTTTTATCTAAATTTAAAATAGAAAAGAGCACTTTTATGATTTTATCTTTTCCCTAAACTAATTGTGCGGCTACATGACCCAAAAAAAAACACCCAATGAAAAAATTACATGTATAAGTCCAATGAAAATAATTTATTTATAAATAAGTGCCACAAAAATTAAAAGCTATAGTCAAATTCTTTAAAATTTGATTATAATTTGTGATTTGTATGCAAGTATAATATTTTCCTTATGCATTAGGCTATAGTGAAAAAGATGATGCATGCTTTGTTCAGTGTCACAATTGCTCTATTCACATTCTTGACGGCTCTATTGCATTCTTCTTCTGCACCAAGCCTTGTGATTGATGCTCTCTCGGTCTTGTTTTTCTTTGCTAATCCTCTCCTACGAAATTGTTAGGGATTGAGGGAAAAATCCAATAATCCATGATGTTTTTATATGAGCAACTCCTTCCTCGTCACAATCAATTATGATCGTCGCTACTTCTCCTTGTTCTAATCGCTTTGCATGATAAATACCCTATCCAAATCAACTAGTAAGATTTTATTATTTAGTTTAAGTTTTCATTACTTTAAATTTCAACTTTCATTATTCAATTTTTCAGACTACTGTGTGATCAAAGTCGTTAGGTGCAGGGTAGTGGAAAGGAGATTTTACAGCTTGCAAAAAGGTTTGAATATTTGCCCTATTAGATACACTTTTTTTAAAAAAAGAATAGAGATAAAGTTCAATTATTGGAAAAAGGTTATAAAGAATAAAATTAGTGTAAAATTAAAGTGATAGTTGTAGATACTAATAAAATAATTATAAACAGTTAGTGTTAAACTTGTTAATAACGTATGATAAGTCTAACTATTATATATATATATATATGAAGTTATAGTTATAAAAAATTAAAGTGATAGTTATAAATTGTTGATGAGATAATTACAAACATTAACATTAAACATTATTAGTAACGCATGATTGATTTAACTGTTAAATATGTGAAGTTATATTTATAAAACGTTTGGAGTGATAATTATGAATTAGAAATAAGATAGTTATAAATTACAATTTGATTTATTTTAACAGGGGCAATATTTTCTTTCCATCCCAACCTCAAATTACATTTAGACTTATAGAGACTTGATTATGATTTTTTTTATTTTATGGACATTATTTGTGAATAAATTGTATAACCTTCCTGAAACTAATTGTGCAGCTATATTTTTGATATAAACTAATAGTGTTATTTTTTTTTTCCATAAATTTCACTTTATAAATTTAGATTATGTATATAGTTTTAAACACATCACACAAAATTTGGAAAATGTCAATCCTATATAGTTTATGAATATTGGGACTAGCTATAATTATTTAAAAAAATTACATTGAAGTTTCACACAAAAAAATTAGTTACTACAAGGCTTATTGCTAATTGAACTAAGACTATTAACAACTAATTGACAATAAACCTTATAATAATTAATTTTTTTTGTATGGGATCTGGATTTAATTGTCCCTAATTATGTTATTATATTACATTTTTTATATTTTTTTATTTTTATTATATTATTTTGAAATTTTATTTTTTTCCAACATTAATTTATATTTTCGAATAGAGTTCAAAAATTGAGAAACAAGTACAATTTTAAAGAATATCTCCAAATTATTATATTTTTATGCATTGAAGAACGAATATCCATGACTGGCCAATAAAAAAGAAAAACAAATTTCTCCATTTTATTTTTATCAATTTCATTTTTTTTATTTTATCGATGATCAAATTTTACGTGAAGTCACATCAAGTAGTTTATTTTCTATTTTGTTTTTATTGTTAAAATAAGGATAGATGTGTATTTTTGCCCTAAAAATATTCTTTGAATAACACCCAATATTCTAACATTTTTTTTGAAATAATTTTATCCTTAAAATAATTAACATGAAGCATTTTTGCCCTTTTCAAATTTTATCAAATTCTCTAATGGTCAGCGTTTGATTCACAATTAATATTTTCAAAGGTCAGCATTGAAAATTTGATAAAAAGAACAAAAATGTTTGGTTTTAATCATTTTAAGGATAAAATTGTTTCAATAAAAATATTAAAGTACTGAGTGCTTTTTGGATAATACTTTAAGAGTGAAAATGTATATTTATTCAATAACAAGGACGAGCAAAAAAGTTCAAAATGTGTCTCTCTTCCAATATTTTCACCTGATG